ATTTGAACTTAACTTGCAATATTATTTAATATATATAAATAATATTAATATTAATAATCACTATATGAAAAAGTATAATTGTGTCATGTTGCTGTGTAGGGTCCGTATTGTCCGTATTAAAATAATAATAAAATCATTATTATCGTGTGTTATCGTTTGTTATAACAGATATAAAACTATAAAATGTTACGAGACCTTATACTCAGCGACTAATGACTATACATATATATGATATATATTATTGCCGAATCGCAGAACGGATAAGATTATCTGTACATGCGTCGTTACATACGGGCTTGGTAAAATGACTATTTTATCTTTTTATTTTTATTGAAATATTTAGTTGACGTTTGGTCGCGTTGTCGTAATATTGTATTGTATTCAACGTGCGTGTGGTTTTTTTTTAAATTGTATTTTGTTTTATTATTTACATAAATTGTATAATGAGTGAAAAAAAACAAAGTTATATTTATAATTTCTTTATAAATAAAAAAGATAATTGCAACAATAGTAATAACTATGAATGAACTTTAGAGCCCCCACAATCTTCGTCAGGTGTCATTAGAAAAAACATTCAAACCGATGGAGGAGAGAAAAAAAAATTAAAATAGTAAGAAAATATAATTCAGACTACTTGAAATTTGGATTTATTCAAGAACCTAATAGTGATCTACATCCACTGCCACTTTGTGTTGTGTGTTCTGACATATTATCCAATGATGCTATGAAACCTTCGAAACTTGAAAGACACTTCCAATCAAAACATAAGAATTTAGCAAATAAACCAATTGAATATTTTGAAAGAATGCGTAATGACATGCGAAAGCAAGTAATTACTATGAAAAAAATGACAATCGAAGATAAATCCTTGTTAAAGGCTTCTTATTTGGTAGCACTTCAGATCGCAAAAAATAAAAAACCGTATACGATTGGAGAAGACCTAATTAAGCCTTGCATGTTACAAGCCGGTGAAGTAGTATTGGGAAAGCAGGCTGTCAAGAAACTCAAAGAGATTCCTATGTCTGCTAACACTATCAAACGCAGAATTGAAGAAATGGCTGATGATATTGAAAATCAAGTTATAACAATGATGAAAAATTCACCATTTTATTCAATTCAACTTGACGAATCGACGGACGTAAGTAATAAAGCACTTCTTCTTTGTTTTGTGAGAGTTGAGTATGGAGGAGGGCTACAGGAAGAACTTCTTTGTTCGCTCAACTTGCCAGGTAGAACAACTAGCTCTGAGATTTTCGAAGCACTTGATAGTTATTTTCAGAAACACGGAATTGAGTGGAAAAAGTGTATTGGGATATGTACAGATGGTGCTGCAAACATGGTTGGACATCTTTCAGGCATTGTCGCAAAGGTGAAAAATGTCGGTCACCCAGATATTTTGTCTACCCACTGCATTTTGCATCATGAGCAACTTGCGTCAAAAAAAATTTCCCCAGAACTATACGAAGTATTATCCGATGTTATCAAAATTGTAAATCATATTCGACACAAAGCACTTAATTCAAGGTTATTTGAGTCACTTTGTGAAGAAATGTGTTCCCAATATACACACCTTCTTCTTCGTGCAGAGGTAAGATGGCTGTCGAGAGGGAAGATTTTAACCCGACTGTTTACTCTACGTGAAGAAGTTAAATTATTTTTCCAACAGCAAAATAATGTGAAATTTCAAGAACTTTTATTCAATGATGAGTGGGTAGCCAAGCTTGCATATCTGGCAGATATTTTTTCGCTGTTAAATGAATTAAACATATCCATTCAAGGACAACTTAAGGACGTGTTCACAGTACGAGACAAAATGGATGCTTTTCAAAAAAAAATATTACTTTGGCAAACACGGTTGGCTGAAGAGGATCTACAAATGTTTCAACATTTTGATGAATATATGAAAGAAAAGGACGTTAACCAGCGAGTGGTAGCTATTGTTCAACAGCATTTAGAATCACTTACAGAATCTTTTTGTCGTTATTTCCCAAAAAAAGAAGATCCTAGACATGGTAATATGTGGATAATAGATCCATTTGCAGCAAACAATGAAAATAATAAGTTAAATATGAGCGAAAAAGAAAGCCTCATCGATTTATCATCCGACTCCTCACTCAAAACTAAGTTCCTGGAATTATCAAAAAGCCATTTTTGGTTGTACGTTAAAAATGAATACCCTTTGTTGAGTGAAAAAGCAATGAAAATCTTAATTCAATTTTCAACTACGTATTTATGTGAAAAAACATTTTCTTCGGTCACAGTTATTAAGACACGGTACCGGTCTCAGCTAGAAATAAGTAAAGCTCTACGACTTGCAGTGACTACATTGGAGCCAAAATTGCACGAAATTCTTCAAAACAAACAGGAATAAATATCACATTAAAATTTAATTAAAACTTAAAACTTTCATCATAAATAAAAATAAAACCTTTTTTACTATTTTACATGTGTATTTTTTTATATTAATTTGGTGTACAATTTATCAGTAGTGGAACGGTATTTATGTAAAAAACTATTTTAAGCTATACGTGGTCCGTAGAATTTGGAGTATGGACTTAGTGGTCCGCTAGGTCTAAAAGGTTGGCGACCGCTG